GCTCAGTCTTGAAGTTGTAATTTCATCTTTCTGTCAATTCATCAACTTTTTCTGTTCTAAGTAGAGTGTAGAATCAAGCTCAGTCTTGAAGTTGTAATTTCATCTTTCTGTCAATTCATCAACTTTTTCTGTACTAAGTAGGGTGTAGAATCAAGCTCAGTCTTGAAGTTGTAATTTCATCTTTCTGTCAATTCATCAACTTTTTCTGTACTAAGTAGAGTGTAGAATCAAGCTCAGTCTTGAAGTTGTAATTTCATCTTTCTGTCAATTCATCAACTTTTTCTGTTCTAAGTAGAGTGTAGAATCAAGCTCAGTCTTGAAGTTGTAATTTCATCTTTCTGTCAATTCATCAACTTTTTCTGTACTAAGTAGAGTGTAGAATCAAGCTCAGTCTTGAAGTTGTAATTTCATCTTTCTGTCAATTCATCAACTTTTTCTGTACTAAGTAGAGTGTAGAATCAAGCTCAGTCTTGAAGTTGTAATTTCATCTTTCTGTCAATTCATCAACTTTTTCTGTACTAAGTAGAGTGTAGAATCAAGCTCAAACGTTGAAGTTGTAATTTCATCTTTCTGTCAATTCAGCAACTTTTTCTGTACTAAGTAGGGTGTAGAATCAAGCTCAGTCTTGAAGTTGTAATTTCATCTTTCTGTCAATTCATAAACTTTTTCTGTACTAAGTAGAGTGTAGAATCAAGCTCAAACGTTGAAGTTGTAATTTCATCTTTCTGTCAATTCATCAACTTTTTCTGTACTAAGTAGGGTGTAGAATCAAGCTCAGTCTTGAAGTTGTAATTTCATCTTTCTGTCAATTCATAAACTTTTTCTGTACTAAGTAGAGTGTAGAATCAAGCTCAAACGTTGAAGTTGTAATTTCATCTTTCTGTCAATTCAGCAACTTTTTCTGTACTAAGTAGAGTGTAGAATCAAGCTCAGTCTTGAAGTTGTAATTTCATCTTTCTGTCAATTCATCAACTTTTTCTGTACTAAGTAGAGTGTAGAATCAAGCTCAAACGTTGAAGTTGTAATTTCATCTTTCTGTCAATTCATAAACTTTTTCTGTACTAAGTAGGGTGTAGAATCAAGCTCAGTCTTGAAGTTGTAATTTCATCTTTCTGTCAATTCATCAACTTTTTCTGTACTAAGTAGAGTGTAGAATCAAGCTCAAACGTTGAAGTTGTAATTTCATCTTTCTGTCAATTCATCAACTTTTTCTGTACTAAGTAGGGTGTAGAATCAAGCTCAGTCTTGAAGTTGTAATTTCATCTTTCTGTCAATTCATCAACTTTTTCTGTACTAAGTAGAGTGTAGAATCAAGCTCAAACGTTGAAGTTGTAATTTCATCTTTCTGTCAATTCATCAACTTTTTCTGTACTAAGTAGAGTGTAGAATCAAGCTCAACCCGTCATTTGTGGATGTATGAATGTATGGATGAATGGATGTGTGTTCGCAGCTTTAAGTCGTATCTCCTCCTCAACGAAGCAATATCGAGGACTAGTTCCAAAGCAATTATGTTAAGCAAGTTACGAGGATGATAGTGGGCCAAAAAAAATCCGGAATTCCTTCCTGGATTTCCTGGAAAAGCCAAAAAACCTCGAAAAAATGCAGTTTTTGGCCCATATCTCGGCAACCAGACCACTTAGCGACTTGAAAATTTACCAATCGATTACTGCCATAATTTAGAACAATATTGCCAAAGAAATTTTTCAAAAATATCCTTTCGTTCGGTCACAAATTTTTTTTTGAATTAATTAAAATTTGGACCGAATTAGTAGGCATGTTTATCCAACCACACCACACGCGTCATCACGTTCAATAGCTGCGCCATCACGTTCAATGGCTGCGTCATCACGTTCAGTAGCTAGGCGCGCAATGGTTTTTAGTCATGTAACTCTATTGCAGGGGTCGGCAACCTGTGGCTCGCGAGCCGCATGCGGCTCTTTTGATATCAAGATGCGGCTCTCCAGCTCCTTGAACAAATACTAATAATCTTAATAAAAAAAATAAAATGTGGCTCGTTAAAACCAGGGAAATTTTGAAAATTGTAACTTTTGGCTCTTCCGCTTCAAAAGGTTGCCGACCCCTGCAGTCTATTGTAAATAAAACATGTAAAATACTGAAATTTTTTAAAATAAAAAACGTTTTAATAACTAACCAATGGTTTTACTAACCCTGCTCTTGATTTACGCTACGACAGAGCTATTTTTAGATAACATAAGGAAATTGCGCTAAAATTGTCACTAGACTTTTTAATTACCTTGTTTTTTGTATGACGTGTTTCATCTTGAACTTTCTGTCATTGGGTTTATTTCTTGCTCCGGCAATGAAAACTCTCAGTCGTTTTAAAAAAAAGTTTAAACAGTACAACTACTTAGTCCATTTATTTCTATTAAAATTTTCAACTTTATTAAATTTTTCGTTTCAATTATTTGTTCACATTTGCTCTAGATCAGGGGTTCCCAACCCCGTGCGCGTGGGCGCCATGGCGCCCGCCGAACTATTCGTATGTGCCCGCCTCTCACTATTTGGCAGAGACAGAATTTTTTTCATAAACATTATTGAATGGTTGAAGGGGATGGAAATTGAAAGTTTGAGGGGGGGGGGGGGAGGGTGCAAATCGAAAATTTGAGGGGGGAGGGTCCAAATCGAAAGTTTGAGGGGGGTGTGCAAATCGAAAATTTGAGGGGGGGGGGTGTAAATCGAAAGTTGTAGGGGGGGGGGGGGGCAAATCGAAAATTGTCCCCGGGTGACGGGAAGGGTCGCTACGCCTCTGGAAGGAGTTTGTAGATTTAAAATAGGTGGTGCCCGCCACCCTACCGATATTTTAGAATGTGCTCTAGAGTAAAAAAAGGTTGGGAACCCCTGCTCTAGATATTCCCAGGACTTTAGAATATTACAATTTATAATGGACCCACCGAGAGTACTCTTGAAATTACTATAAAGGCCTATTAAATATTTAAAAAATAGTTTTTAAAAAATCACATACGTTGTTATTAAATAAAATATGGTTATAACGAATTTGACTTTTTGAATTTTTGAAAATTATATTGGCAAAGTTTTGAGAATGAATAATGATGAAATTGGGTTTTGAGAAATCTACCACGGAGTTCCTGTACAGCCAATCAATGTTTATAAAAAAAATAATACAATAAATAGAGGTAGCCTTATAATCAAAAAATTATTTCCAAGTTCTCTGGATTTACAGCTTTTATAACATTGATTCTAAAAATATAAAATTTCTGATTTATTTTTGGCTTAAAATTTTTTGATCGGCCGCTTTAAAAAAAAAAAAAAAGCCACGAATTTTATATCCACGTCAGCAATATTGATGGAAGGATTCTCGTCAACACGTTAATGTCCATTGAAGTTAATTCAATATCATCACGATACTTAGCCAGCGACCCTGAGTTGATAGATTTGTTTTACTGATAACTATTTAAAAATCTTATGTACTTTGTCGTTTATAATTTTCTACACAATAATGGCCATAATGAGAATTGCAGTAACTTCCGGTTTTTTATGGGTAGAGACCCACAAGGTATCAATATCAATACAAAGACTTACGCTAAATTCCTTCTTTGGGCAGTACTCTTAAAAGTTGTCAGAATTGTATTACCAATTTAATTGATGATGCATTTTCTGACTAAATTTGCATAGTAAAATATTTTTTCAAATATTTTATTTCGCCTAAGTTATCAACTATTTGAGCATCTTTATGCAATATCCATAGTAAACCAATTTATACCACTTTAGAAAAAATGTATATGCAGTTGAGTAACAAACGTGTTGTAAAGATGTTGAGATATTATCAGCACGTAATGTTTACCGGATCCTAAACAGTTCTAGAATGACAGGATGTAAACAATATTTGTACTCCCCCCCACCCTCTCTCCTTTCCAGGAAGTTTATGTGCAAGAGGAGGATTATTTGACCAATGACTAGTCAAAACTTAAGGTCAGGGACCTTCCATATCAGTGAATGAATAGAACGTCTGACATGTGGATATCCCGCAGAGAATTAATGTTGACCATCCAGAGATGTAACACTCAACAGTTTCCATGTGGACACGCCCCTTTATCTGCCGATTCTTCCAGTACGTTCTCTCGAAACAACGAGTTTTAACTTTAGCACCAGTTCACATTTCTGGCTGCTTTGAAACTACTAACCTATTGGGTCGGCGTGGCTTTAGCTGGTAATTTTTAAATGCATTAAATGTAGCTCGTTTAGCTTAGTTCAGCTAACTTGGCTCATTAATTTTGCACTATTTATTTAGGGTAATTAACATAGCTTGTTTCATTTAGCTTAATTAACATAGTTTGTTTAACTTAGCTCCGTTAAACTCTTACTCGACAGTTTGGTATCCCGGAGCTAAGACTGCAGACCACACTCCGACTACGGACGGGACTACTATAGCCCGAACGGAAGATTTCAATCACACTCGATATCTGTCTCCATTGATATATATATATATATATATATATATATATATATATATATATATATATATATATATATATATATATATATATATATATATATATATATATATATATATATATATATATATATATATATATATATATATATATATATATATATATATATATATATATATATATATATATATATATATATTGGATCTACCTGTTTGTTTTTGCCACTTGGTCTTCGCCCCACATGATGGTCTCAAATAAGCAACACCCTCAACTATACCAATACCGAGAAACAACAGAACCATTCACCATAATGCAACCACATCAAATAACACAGCTACGCCACGTAACATAACCACCCCACATACCACAACCACCCCACTTTACACAACCACTCAACATAACATAACCACCACATAACACAACGGCCCACAAAACACGTCTACCACACATAACACAACCACCACATATAACATACACGTCAACAGTAATATTTTCTACAACTAACCCCTTTACTTTACGATAATAACGAAACACAAACCAGAAACTACATCATAACAGTTTTATGACTTTATTTCTTCCCTTCGTATAAATGAAACATCAATAATTTATACATTAATGTATGATACAACAATAACGTGAACATGTAATCAACTACAACAATCATCCAACTAAACAAAATCGTCCCATCCTGGGTCACAAGATTCTAAGTCCCACATATCTTTGGCTTTCTGAACAACGAATCGGTCCGTGTGAGTCTCTATAAAAACGTGAGTAGAGAGTAAGTTTGTTTCATGTAAATGTAAATATCTCAAGTTTTAAAGTGAACTGTTCTCACACTGTTTATATTTTGAACACCGTTAAGAGAATAACTTCGTGTGTACATTTTGAAGAAGGTTTAGAGATTAAAAAACACGAAACTGTTGTTTTGTTTCGCTCCCGGTGTTTATATTTTCACACAGGTTCGGGTGGGGTTTTGGAGTACTTCGTGTTTTGGATGGCGTTCTTATCCTTACACGGCATGCAGGAAGTCCGGGGCACGCATGCGCAACACGTCTCCCCCAGCGTCTTCCGGAACTGGGTGCTCATGGCGATGTAGGTGATGAAGTTGGTGGCGCAGTTGATCATCGACAGCAGGTCTATGAAGTCCGCTAACAGAGCGTATACGTCTCTGAAAAAACCTTCGACGAAAATACAGAGCAGGATTAAAATAGACTGAGGCAGCTCGGCGATGATGTAAAGGGCAATAATCGCCAATAACATGATTGTTGTGCGTCTCGTTTGATTATTGCCGTTGGTGGCGGATTTCTCTCCCTTGAGCCTGCGCGCGCGCTTGTCGGTTTCCTTCAGCGTGTGAAGTAAAAGCCCGCCAAATATCGAGATGAGGGTACAGGGGATTATTTTCCCGGCCACTGGGTACATAAAGAAGAAGATGGTCTGAAGGGTGTCGCTGTCTTTCTGCCCGAAGGAGGGCTGCTTGAGGTGCCAGTTGAGGACCCCTGTTTGGTTGTTGAAACAGGGTTCGATCTGCGAGACCAGGCAGTTGGGGATGATGAGCAGGGCCGCGCCCAGGTACGTCACCACGATGACGACGATGGTCGAGCGACAGTCGAGGGTCTGGGCGCCCCGGGCGGTCGGGCGGATGAAGAAGTAGCGCATGGCGGCCATGATGACCCCTAGCCAGATGGAGGAGGTGTGTGAGGTCAAGGTCAAGTTCATGTGGACGGCCAGGTAGGTTGTCCAGGCTAGACTGCTTAACTTAAAGCTGTGGGGTAGAAATACAACAGGTGAGTGAATGTGTGGAGACAGGTGAGTGAATGTGGGGAGACAGGTGAGTGAATGTGGGGAGACAGGTGAGTGAATGTGTGGAGACAGGTGAGTGAATGTGGGGAGACAGGTGAGTGAATGTGGGGAGACAGGTGAGTGTGGAGACAGGTGAGTGTGGAGACAGGTGAGTGAATGTGTGGAGACAGGTGAGTGTGGAGACAGGTGAGTGAATGTGTGGAGACAGGTGAGTGAATGTGTGGAGACAGGTGAGTGAATGTGTGGAGACAGGTGAGTGAATGTGTGGAGACAGGTGAGTGAATGTGTGGAGACAGGTGAGTGAATGTGTGGAGACAGGTGAGTGTGGAGACAGGTGAGTGTGGAGACAGGTGAGTGAATGTGTGGAGGAAGGCGAGTGTGGAGACAGGTGAGTGAATGTGTGGAGGAAGGCGAGTGTGGAGACAGGTGAGTGAATGTGTGGAGGAAGGTGAGTGTGGAGACAGGTGAGTGAATGTGTGGAGGAAGGTGAGTGTGGAGACAGGTGAGTGAATGTGTGGAGACAGGTGAGTGTGGAGACAGGTGAGTGAATGTGTGGAGACAGGTGAGTGTGGAGACAGGTGAGTGAATGTGTGGAGGAAGGTGAGTGTGGAGACAGGTGAGTGTGGAGACAGGTGAGTGAATGTGTGGAGGAAGGCGAGTGTGGAGACAGGTGAGTGAATGTGTGGAGACAGGTGAGTGTGGAGACAGGTGAGTGAATGTGTGGAGGAAGGTGAGTGTGGAGACACGTGAGTGAATGTGTGGAGGAAGGTGAGTGTGGAGACAGGTGAGTGAATGTGTGGAGGAAGGTGAGTGTGGAGACAGGAGAGTGAATGTGTGGAGACAGGTGAGTGTGGAGACAGGTGAGTGAATGTGTGGAGACAGGTGAGTGTGGAGACAGGTGAGTGAATGTGTGGAGACAGGTGAGTGAATGTGTGGAGACAGGTGAGTGAATGTGTGGAGACAGGTGAGTGAATGTGTGGAGACAGGTGAGTGAATGTGTGGAGACAGGTGAGTGAATGTGTGGAGACAGGTGAGTGAATGTGTGGAGACAGGTGAGTGAATGTGTGGAGACAGGTGAGTGAATGTGTGGAGACAGGTGAGTGAATGTGTGGAGACAGGTGAGTGAATGTGTGGAGACAGGTGAGTGAATGTGTGGAGACAGGTGAGTGAATGTGTGGAGACAGGTGAGTGAATGTGTGGAGACAGGTGAGTGAATGTGTGGAGACAGGTGAGTGAATGTGTGGAGACAGGCGAGAGAGCGACAGGGGTGAGGTATCGTCCATGAGGGTGGGGCTGATGATTTAAAGGAGAGGGCTGGGGTGACAGTGACAGTTGGGGGGGGGGGGGTGGGGGTATAGGATGAGCTGTAACATGTTTAAGGGAAAACCAGACGTGGGAAATACTTGGAAGTGTGAAGTAGACAGCCGGAAGTGGGAAGTAGAAAGCCGGAAGTTGGAAGAAGAGAGCCGGAAGTGTGAAGTAGACACCTGAAAATGGAAGCAGAAAGCCGGAAGTGTGAAGTATAAAGCCGGAAGTGTGAAGTAAACAGCCGGAAGTGTGACGCACACAGCCGTAAGTGTGAAGTAGACACCTTGAAATGGAAGTAAACAGCCGGAAGTGTTATGTAGATAGCCGGAAGTGGGAAAAAGAAAGCCGGAAGTGGGAAAAAGTGACGTACTCGTTGTCCATAAGGTAGTAGTAGTAGGCGAACGGTATGAGGGACAGCATGGTGATGGTGTCGGCCACAGCGATGCCGGTCAGGATGCAGTTGATGCTGTTGCGCATGTTGGGCTTGGTCAGGACCACGATGTTGAGCACGTTGGTGATCACGCCGTAGATGCAGATCACGAACGTGACGTAGGCGTGAGGTTTCTTGTACGTATCGTGCACCTGAGGGGTGTCAAACATGGTAAGTCAAGGTAATTTTTGTTAAGGTAAATCAAGGTATGTTTTGTTAAGGTAAGTCAAGGTAATTTTTTTTAAGGTAAGTCAAGGTAATTTTTTTTAAGGTAAGTCAAGGTAATTTTTTTTTAAGGTAAGTCAAGGTAATTTTTTTTAAGGTAAGTCAAGGTAATTTTTGTTAAGGTAAATCAAGGTAATTTTTGTTAAGGTAAATCAATGTAATTTTTGTTAAGGTAAATCAGAGGTAATTTTTGTTAAGGTCTTCTTCTTCTTCTTCTTCGTTCTTAATTATTAGTGTTGAAGGGGATCGAGATTTATCTGCCAGTGGGGTTGAACTCGAGACTGTTCGAATTTATCAACCATGAGCTTTTTGCCGACTCGACCACGCCTCCAACACAATTAAGCGTTACGTGTCAACTGGTTATGCGCCATTGAGGCCATTGACTCCGATTTCAGCCTGCTTTTCTTTTTGGATTTGCTTCCATAGCCTTTGTCCAACCAAGAACAAACTACAAGGCAGCAGTTGTTTAATTTTGGAGTTGTCTCTCCTAGAAGAGTGGCTGTCCCCAGCTAACGAGCCTCATCTGCCCGAGGGTTCGAACTCGAGACTTTTCGGTTTAGCAACCATGAGCTTTACCAACTCGACCACGCCGACCCCTTTTGTTTGTTAAGGTAAACCAAGGTAATTTGTGTTGAAGTAAATCAAGGTAATTTTTGTTCAGGTAAATCAAGGTAGGTTTTGTTAAGGTAAATCATGGTAATTGTTTGTTAAGGTAAACCAAGGTAATTTGTGTTAAGGTAAATCAAGGTAATTTTTGATAAGGTAAATTAAGTTAATTTTTGTTAAGGTAAATTAAAGTATGATGAAATAAGGAAAACTAGAGCTAGGCTAAGTTAAAATATGGTAAATCGAAGCTACTTTAATTAAAAGTAAGGTAAATGAAAGGTAATTTAAAGTAAAACGTCGATGACACTTCAACTGATGAAAATAGACGTGTGTTTTATGTGGTGGTATAATCAGCCCATATGAGCACGTTAACCTAACACAACATCCACAAGACCACACCTCGTCTAGTTTTTAAACCTAATGCTTTACAATACACACACACACAGCGGTGCATTCATCCTCACATACATACGCACACATAGTGATATGTGCGGCGTTACACATACACTCGCATACTTTCAGCAACACACTGACACAAACGTGTACCCCCTGAGTGACACATGTGTTAGTATTGTAGACACATTTTACCTAACAAGTAGCCCCCTGCCCCCACACATCGTCCACACATACACTTGTCCACCACAACACGGCGCCACACGTGTGTGTTCCCACACATTTACAGCCACGTGGAGATGTTGCACTTATCACCCCATACCCCACACCCCCCCCCCACTCACCATGTACAAGGTCGACTGTGTGAAGTTGCTGCTAGAGTTATCACCACCACCAGCCCCCCACACACTTACCCCCCCCCCCCCCCCCCCTCACACACTCCCCCACACCCCACTCACCATGTACAAGGTCGACTGTGTGAAGTTGCTGCTAGAGTTATCACCACCACCAGCCCCCCACACACTTACCCCCCCCCCCCTCACACACTCCCACACACCCCACTCACCATGTACAAGGTCGACTGTGTGAAGTTGCTGCTAGAGTTATCACCACCACCAGCCCCCCACACACTTACCCCCCCCCCCCTCACACACTCCCACACACCCCACTCACCATGTACAAGGTCGACTGCGTGAAGTTGCTGCTAGAGTTATCACCACCACCAGCCCCCCACACACTTACCCCCCCCCCCCTCACACACTCCCACACACCCCACTCACCATGTACAAGGTCGACTGCGTGAAGTTGCTGCTAGAGTTATCCGCCACTGGACACAGCTCGATGCCAGGAGACGAGGAGGAGGTCGAGTACATGTAGGCCTCTAGCCCGAGGGTCGTCGACTGGTTCTCCCAAGACATTTCCGGTGCCTAGATCTGGAAGTATACAAGAGGGGAATGACAGGGCGATGGTACCAATGACAGGATGATGTCACTGAATGACAGGGTGATGTCATCAAATGACATAGTGATGTGACTTAATGACAGACAATGAGACAAAGAGACATGAAAATGCAAATAACTAAATGACATGCAGTAGTCGACATTGCCGGGCCAGTAGATCTCATGGTTGATTAACCGAATAGTGCCGTCATTGAACCCCGGGCAGATGAGGCTTGATTGCTGGGGACAGAAACCTATCTAGGAGAGAAAACTCCAAAAACTGTTGCATTGTTATTCGTTCTTGGTTGAACCAAAGGTTATGGAAGAAAATCCAGAAAGAAAAACGGGCTGGAATCGGAGTCAATGAGCCATGACACATTACATGTTAACACGTAATAATTAATTATGTTAGAAGAAACTCCGTCCAGTATTACAATTAAGAGCGAAGAAGAAAAAGGAGAATGACACGAATATGCAATCGTATGACACGGTGGTCTGACCAAATTATTTTTCGACGTGTAAATAAAGAAATATTGCAAAGAAAAAAAATACTCTTCGACATTGTTTTCATGAAACCTAGCTGAAAAAACTCAGTAGGTTATTTATAGTAACATAATCTGATTGGTCTAGGTTGACGTGAGTACTCATTGATGAGGTTTGGGGAAATGGATACATTTCTTTTTCTTATTAATAAACGGTAGAAATGTTACGACTCTCATGGCAAGGTTCCATATGATATAACTCTCCACACCCGCCCCATACTGGAAGACTTCGTAAATCTAGATTGACCAATTTTCTACCGTAGATTGCTTAAGTGTGACATCGTGTAGCCAGACGACTCAAGTATGACAAAAATTTCGAGTCGAAAAAAATAGAAGAATAGATCACCAACCGTGAAATCACTTACCTTTATGTCCCTCTGAATAAGTATCTCGCACAAGAAAGTTTCAATTATGAACGTAGATCGCATGTATAACATCGTATCTCACAGACACATTCTCTATGTTAAACGTAACTATGAGCACAAATTCTGCAACACCAGCTACTTTAAAGCCGGATAACTCTATTATTTCAATACCAAAGCAATTTCCCAGTTATTTCCCTTTTAGGTCTTGTAAAATTGTAATAAATTGTGTTCATATAGTTATCATTTATTACAAAATAGCCCCGGAAATTACTCGTTTGCTGACTTAAGAAAATTCTTTGATTTCATTTCATTAAGAAACATTAACCGTGTTATTATGCTCTAAATCTAATTTCGTCTGGTTTTATTAGAAAAAAATATTTTTATATGTTGGATTTAACCAACAATTCCCATTACAAGTTGAATAGTCTCGACCCAGACATTTTTTTTTTTACCAACAAAACCTATTTCCCTTGCTTTCATGATCTCTTTATCTAAGGACTCCGATATAAAACCGAATATGAACAACGATTTATTATTCATTACCAAGATATGACAGTGTAATATGTAATGATTGTGTTATTTGATTACGAGCAAGATAAAAACGAGAACGTCATTTCATGTTGAAATAGGGGCGGAGACAATGGTCTCTTTGGCAGGAGATTTATCGGAGAGACCTCATCATTCAGACGGCACCAAGTCCTTGGAGAATTTTGGAGGGAATTTCTCCTGCTGGGCAGACGAGAATTATTGACTCGGGATCAGCATGATTGCTACTGCGGTGAAAAGCATGATTGCTACTGCGGTGAAAAGCATGATTGCTACTGCATGATTGCTACTGCATGATTGATACTGCATGATTGCTACTGCATGATTGCTACTGCATGATTGCTACTGCATGATTGCTACTGCGATGGAAAGCATGATTGCTGCTTAGATTGAATAGCATGAATGCTACTTAGATTGAAAAGCATGATTGCTACTGCGATGAAAAACATGATTGCTGCTTAAATTGAAAAGCATGAATGTTACTTAGATTGAAAAGCATGAATGTTACTTAGATTGAAAAGCATGAATGCTACTTAGATGAAAAGAGTGATTGCAATTGCGATAAAAAGCATGATTGCTACTTTAAAGAAATACATGCTTGCATCTGTAAGGAAAATCATGATTGCTACTGCGATAAAACCTCATCCATACACTACATCATCAACCGCCCTTCGTAATTCTAACAAAGGATTGATTTGGAAAAAAAAACACCATCTGAAAGAGTTCTATCCCTTTGTTTTTTTGTGGTAAATATTAATTAACAGCTACATCAAACATAAATTAATAAACAGCCACAGTTAATAAGAAACACCCATGGTGTGCACATTAAGAAACAGCTGCTGTACCAATATAATAAACAGCCACAGTGAACACATTAAAACGGCCACACATTAAAACAGGCACAGTGAACACATTAAAACAGCCACAGCGACCATAAAAACAACCAAACACGCCAGAGGTGTGGGTAGTGTTGTCATAGCAACCTACAACGTTCCCAAAAAATTGTAAACGACCCAGCTAAAGATGACGTCTAGAACAGGTGTAACAGTGTTTCTCTATTAAAAATGAGAGTACTATCATAGTTCATTAGTTTAAAAACGTTTAAATTCTACCCCCCTCCCCCACCACCCTCATCTTATTGTCAATAAAAGACCAAGACAACACTATATCAACAGATTCGATTTGAAGGTAATTTTTTTCTCGTCCTAAGACGATATTTCAACACATTTACTTTCCTTCTCGACTCAACGTTTCTAACCTTTTATCTCATCAATCTCGTTCTTGGTCACAAATCTTTCTCGTATTCTACGTCTCATATATTTCTCGTATTGTTGGTCTCATTTCTTTTAACCTAACATTCTTGCTCTCATATATTTCTCGTATTCCAAGTCCCATATATTTCTAGTATTCAAAGTCCCATATATTTTTCACATACCAGGTCCCATAACTCTCTCTACTGGACACCAGCGCATTAAGTTACACACAATAACTCGCCATGACATTAATAACACCGTTCAACGTCCACTAATTATTAATTAACACAGAAATTAGTCCCACTAAAATTACTCACCATTTTTGTGCTGGTTATCTCGTCTCCCATCTCCACCAAACAATACCCCCCCCCCCCACATCACCTACACTTATAGTTTATTTATTACGTCTAACAGCATAGGGTTTCAACACAAAGTAGAATAATACATGATGATGTTTTGTATGCTTGAAATGCAAAATGGGTTGTCCCCCCCCCCCCTTCCCTTGGTGCCATATGGTACCATTTTATTGAAAGTTTATGTTCTGATACATATCTATCATGTAGGTATGAATACATATACATATATGTTTAGGTTACTATTCAGGATTATCCATGCATATATATATATATATATATATATATATATATATATATATATATATATATATATATATATATTGTGACGTGGCCTAGATGTTCATAGCGAAAGCGTGTAGGCACGGAGAGATTGGGTGTGAGAGTCGCCTCCCCTGACAAGTGTGTGAACTCTAGTGTGTAAGCAGTGTGTGGTATCGTCAACTTAGGGTAGCATGTAGTCAGTGTTTTCGTCAATGTTCACTGTTTCTGTGTTGTTGTTGAAAATTATATTGGATTATTACATTTGAACTGTGTTTTAAATTGTGTTATACCTTGTTCCACTATGAAATGGAAAGCTAACCATAACAAGTGAGGGCTTAAGTCCGGGATTTGAACACAACAAGATTTTTGAGAAGTTTTACCCCTAGACAAAAAGGAAAATATCCAGTATCAACAGCAGCGGTAGAGCCGACATGAAAATATCGAATGTCAACAGCAGCGTCACAACCGACTTGAAAATGTCTAGTATCAACAGCAGCGTCACAACCGACTAGAAACTTGCTAGTATTAACGGCATCGTTACAGCCGACTAGAAAACATCTAGTATTAACGGCATCGTTACAGCCGACTGGGAAGTGTCTAGTATCAACGGCAGCGTCACAACCGACTGGAAAATTTGTAGTATCAACGGCAGCGTCACAACCGACTGGAAAATTTCTAGTATCAACGGCAGTGTCACAACCGACGGGAAAATTTCTAGTATTAACGGCATCGTTACAGCCGACTAGAAACTATCTAGTATTAACGGCAGCGTTACAGCCGACTAGAGAATATCTCGTATCAACGGCAGCGTTACAGCCGACTAGAAAATATCTCGTATCAACGGCAGCAGTCATCGCCGACGTGAAAAGACGTAGTATCGACAGCCACAAAACTTGTGAACAGTGCTGCAGACATCATGGCCATAAATAATGACATTCAAAATACAGTGATAAAGCTAGGAGAGAAGTTGAGAGAACTTGCTAGCTACAAAGTGGACTACATTAGCATAGCAAGTAAGTTATCAAATTTTAGAGCTACAATATTAGCATCTCAGTCCTTGAGCACATCAGAAGCAAATCATTGCGTCGCCACCAACATGAAAGCTCTAGCTACTGTCCCACTTGCAGAAGACCTAGTCAACCAGACACGCAATCTAGGCAACAAGTCAACAGAGTGGAGAACGAGGTCAAGGGCAGCTGAGCAGAAGGTAACTTTAATCCAGAATCAAGTTCATAGTCTTTTTAAAGATACTAATGAGACTTTAATCATAGTTAAAGACTGTGATGTCAAGATAGCAGGATCGAAACAAAAATGTTTGGACTCCAGAGCCAGAGCTGAGCAGAAGAGCCAGAGCCAACGTCAGAGCCAGAGCCCGTGCCAGAGCCCGTGCCAGAGCCCGTGCCAGAGCCAAAACCAGAGCCAAAACCAGAGCCAAAACCAGAGCCAGAGCCAAAACCAGAGCCAGAGCCAGAGCCAAAACCAGAGCCAGAGCCAAAACCAGAGCCAGAGCCGCAACCAGAGCCAGAGCCAGAGCCGGAGCCAAAACCAGAGCCAAAGCCAAAACCAGAGCCAAAGCCAGAGCCAAAACCAAAGCCAGAGCGAGAGCCAAAGCCAGAGCGAGATCCAGATCGACATCCAGAGCCAGAATACTGTACCAAAATTAGAGTGGGG